GGCCTTGCATGTCAAAGATAGTGCCTTCTGACAGGCACGACACCATGACCGTTATACCCCTTGCTGCTTGACCGCACGAGCCCTGGGGTACTGCGTGGACCTCCCTTCTTGGGAGGTGTTCGTCGAGCTTAGGCAGACTCATGGTTGTATTGTCTCCACCGCCTCTTGGTATCATGGCCTCTCACTTCGTGCGGGCAATCTGTTGTCTGGGTTGCGCTGCGAAAAGGGAATTTTCCTTGGCCTGTTCGGCGATGCGACCACTGTATTCCTTAGGCAAGAATCAGCACTGCCGATTGTCGAACCTGCCTTGTGAGAAATGTTTGGACATCAGGCACAGCCATTTGACACAGCGGCGACACGATCGCATTTTGAGATGAAAGATAGGCCCCTTTGTTTGGCCTTTCTGTGACCCTCGAGTGATTGGATCCCTCGATCCTTGTTTTGTGCAATTGCTTCGTTCGACATGCCTTTTGCGTTGTGAATTCGGGCCCTCCACAGTACATAGTTCTCAACTTTTCACTCGTCTCACCTTAGCACAGAGGAGACACTAACGTATGATGGGGAAATGGCCTCTGGCCTTTTGGGTCTGGTTTGGTTCTGGTTTGGGTCTTTTTCTTGGCGGTGTTTGGGTTTGGTTTTGGTGTTGGTCTGTTTGGTGGTTTCGTTTTTGGGGGTGTTCTGCTTGTTTGGTTGGGTTCGTCTTTGTCCTTTTTCCCCTTCATCAAGTAGTGTCTCCTTCCTTGCAATGATGACCTGGGCATCCTGCCCACATGGCGTCCGTACTCGTGGAAAAAAACGTCGACATGACCGTCTGAACAGTACTCTGCTTGCGGGACAGCTTTGTCGTCGGTATATATGAAATGACGCGCCAAAAAAAATATAGATATACACATATACATGTATACACACATATTTGTATACGCACGGGACACCGCACATATATGTCTGCGCAGGTGCACAGAGCGCACCGGCAGAGTGCGTGCACAGCTTTTTCCGCTGGGTGTCGCGTGGACGGCCAAAACGAGCGGACCAGAGACACGGAGACCGCGGCCCAGCCGCGGTATATTTACCACAGTCGTGCGCCAAAAGCCCGCGGCCCAGCCGCTGCGCCTGCTCCCGGGCGGGCGGTCCTGCCGCCGCTCACTCTGCCGCCTTGTCCGCGTCGGCGGCCTTGGCCTTGGTCTTGGCCTTCTTAGGACGCTGGGCCTTCTGCTGCGCCTTCTCGGCCCGGTTCTCTTCCTCCAAGCTCTTGGCGAACTCTGCCGCAGGCTTGAGCTGCTGGATCAGGGCTAGATGCGTCGGCTCGTTCCGGGCGGACCGCGCCACGCAGGCCTTCGCCTGTTCGACGAACCGCTCCAGCGACTGCACCGCGCTATGCGCGCCAGTCAGGGTTGTACACACCCCGGCAGTTTCGTAGTTTCGCCTGTTGAGATGAAGATGTGAGTGAAGATGTGAGATGTGAGAAGATGTGAGAAAGGGAGATGAGAGGATGTGAGAAGATGTGAAATGTGAGATGTAAGAAGATGAGAAGATGTGAGATGAGAAGATGTGAGAGAAGATGTGAGATGTGAGAAGATGTCAGATTTGAAGATCTTTTATGTATAGATCCATTTACATCTCCTTTTTGAAGAACCCTTCGCTCAGACGCTCTCGGGAAAAAGTTCTTGGATGTAGTAATCTAATTCCACGCAGCCCCCACGCAAAATCATATTTCTTGCTTTTAGAGTGTGAGTTGTATTGCTCCCCAAAATATCAAAGTTCTAATTTAATTCTGGTTCAGTTCAAATTCCAATATATATATATATATTTAAATTCAAATGTTTAGTCTATTTCAAGTATGGTTTAATTTTGCTTTGGTTCAAATTTCCTTCACTACAGAGTTTAGTTTATGTGGGATTCAATGGAAGCCGAATGATACTTTGGTTTCAAGCTACCTTTAATTTCGTTGCTATACAGTTCAGGTTCAATTCTAATATTTTATTCTGTTCCACTTGAATTTTAGTTTTTATGATATTCTCATTTACTTCTAGGGAATTGGTGTTGCTTGGAGCATGAAAAATTTTTATGACGTTTTTCCATCATGGAAACATTTGCGTTCTTAAATGAAATAAATTCACACCCCAGCAACACCCACTCTCTAGAATGAAATCAATACTCAATTAGAATTCCAAGTGCATTGAATTGGAATCAAATTAGACTTAAATTGGACATATAGAAATCAAAATGAGATTGCAATGACAATGGTGTAAAATTAGAAGTGTAAAACAATTGAACCTGAACTGTACAATTCGAGTCGTTTAACCTAGGGCTTGGTTAGTAGAACAGTATTGACTTAGAATTAGGTTATAGTTAAATTCAAGTAGAATTCGGCTAGAATAGAATTACAGATTCAATTTGAATTCAATTACATAGAATTCAATTTTGCTTAACTTAGAATTAAATTAGAAACATGTTGCAGATTCACATTTAAAATCAAAATTGAGTTGAATGTTGGATCCAAAGTAATCAAACACAATTAGAATTGTAATAGAATTGAACTAGAAGAAAGACTGAATTAGAATTTGACTACAACGTAATTTAAGATACATTAACACACACCTATGTCGCTCTTCAATTTACAGTTTCGACATGGAGCAGACGACCAGCATTTGGTGTATGAGTTGTTCCCAACACAAGAAGTACAGAACTTCGATGAACTTGTGTTCAAGACTAAGTGGACAGACATTAAAGTTGAAACTTTTTGGAACCCTTTCCAGATCGCCTCGCAATCGACTTTTTTTGTCGATATGGTGAGCGTAATTTGCGGCTCAGACATGTGAGAGTTTCGTGTCGGTCCCTTTTTAGCCGGCCCTGCCTCCTTAAGGAGGCGCTTACTTAATGAAGGGAGAGTAAACACGCTAGTAGCAGACTAGGTAGCTCCTAGTTCGCACTGATGATTTGGTTCCTAGATGTTTAGGAACACTTAGTTAGTTGAATGTGATGTTCTATTTGTCATGTGGATAGATAAAGCATGATAAAGCACACTGTGTTGTCGCTGGAAGCGTACTTTCTGAATCGAGGCAGGATATGTGTTGAAGTTCTGTGTAAACCATTTGTGTTTGATGTGTGTCAACCTTCTTGAGGTGGTGGTTTTTGCATTTTGTTCATCAGGCCTGCTCAAAGCTGAAAGTCCTTGTTGTTCTTTGTGTTTTTTCACATACCTGTCTTGTTGCCTTTCCTCTTTCTTGTGTTGTTTGTTATGTGCGTGTTCTTTGAGGATGCTCTTCGGATCCAAGTGTTTCAGGCAGTTGAACGATTTGAATCAGGCCAGGAGACTCCTCAATCACTCCTCGATTCCGTCATTTCCTCTCCAGGCGGATGAGGGCATTCACTTCTTCAATTGAAGGAAGTGAACAAGAACAAGACGTGTGAAAAAAACAGTGAAACAACATGTGCTTACATACGATAGTTGTTTTCTTTTCGCTGCACCCCACTGCACCCCACAGTGCAGTGTAAACTTCGATGCTTTATAGAACATCTCACGGAGCATTTTTGTTGTTTTGAACATCAGTGCATGCGGCACATTTGCCAAACAAAAGAAGTGTACACATATGCCGTGCCACATGATACCCACAACACTAGGGATTGCATCCGCACATTGGCAAAGCTATTGTTGAGACTGCGTTTGACTGCATTTCTGCATTCGATGCAGACAGCCCACAACTCAGTTGGTCGCATGGTCACATTACCCAGTTTCAGCACGTCTCTCAGCTTTGCACCGTACTTGAACTCGTTTAAAGCTGGGCTGAGTTGGCAGGTATAACAGCTAGAGAAGGTCTATTACTCTTCGCCGTAACAAAATCACATACCTGCCAGACAGATGAGCATTCTTGCAAGAGAACTTACTTGTTTCTGTTTTGAAAATAGACAACGAAAACATATGTGTTTCTTCATGTTTCTTCTACGTCGCCAACGTGTTGGGGGTGTCTCTGGGTGTCTCTGGGTGTCTCTGGGTGTCTCGGTTCAGTTCCCCTCGATCTTCGAAAGGTGAAGATCCGAAACGAACGGATTTCGGAAAAAGACCGAGAAGTTGAGCTAGTTCGGTCAGGTCATCGACTAACGATCTCCAACCTTCAGCCATTTGGAGCGAAGATTGAGCAAGAGTCGTCAAGAGCCCCTAGTAGCTTCCATGCTCCTCGTAGTAAGGCCAGGAGCCCCTAGTAGCTTCCTTGCTACCAGTAGCGATGCCAGGAGCCCCTAGTAGCTTCCTTGCTCCTAGTAGCGATGCCAGGAGCCCCTAGTAGTTTCCTTGCTCCTAGTAG